ATCTGCAGAGAACCTCTTAAAGGGTTCCCCCCCACCTTTTCCTTTCCTTTTTGTGTTACTGGAGACTAAACTCAGGGTCTCAAAAATGCTAAGTGAGAGCTATACTGCTGAGCTACATCCCTAGCCACCCACCATGAATCATTCAGGGAGCCAGATAACACAATTTTTTCGGGAGGGTGGGTATTAGGGATTGAACCCATGGGTGCTTTACCACTGAGCTACATCCCCAAACTTTTAAATTTTTTATTTTAAGTTTGCTAAATTGCTTAGGGCCTCACTAAGTTGCTGAAGCTGTCCTGGAACTTGTGATCCTCTCCTCCTTGCCTGATCTTCTTGAGTTTCTGGGATTATAGGAGTGTGCCACCATACCCAGGCATAGAACACAGTTTAGCCATTATGGGCCTTTAAAGTATTTTTAAATATCCATGTGAGTACTTGATGAGCATATCAAATAAATATTCACCAATATTTACCTTGTACTTACATCAGTGAATGACCAGTTGAACTAATACTGTAATTATGAAATGTCAGAGTCATCTTGGATGCCTCCTTCTCCTTTACTCCCACGTTCAGTATATCACCCTCTTAATTTTATATCCTAATAACTCTCGTGATTCCATTCATTTTTCTCTATACCCATTGCCAGGCCTGATGTCATTTGTTGCTTGTCCTACAGTGAAGGGAAGGCAAGATATGAGTAGAGGGAGAGTACTAGGCATCCAGTTTGTGATTTCAGTAACTGTGCAATGAAGTCATTTTACAAAATGAAGAATATCAACTTTTAATATTTTATTTTATTATTCTATTTATTTATTGTGGTACTAGGGATCAAGCCCAGGACCTCACTCATGCTAGGCAAGCACTCTAACACTGAGCTACATCCCAACCTCTTCTCATTTTATTCTGAGACAGTCTCACTAAGTTGCCAAGGCTGGACTCAAATTTTTGGTTCTTTTGCCTCACCCTCCTGAGTTGCTGAGATTACAGGAATGTGCCACCGAACCAGGCAAGAATATCAACATTTTTGTTTTGTTTTGTTTTTTTCTATTGGTGCTGAGGGTTTAGACCAGGAGTGCTTTGCCACTGAGCTAGATCCCCAACCTTTTTTGTCTTTTTTAAATTTTGAGACAAGATCTTGCTAAATTGCCAAGGCTGAACTCGAACTTACAATTCTCCTGCTTCTGCCTCCCCAGTAACTGAAAAGAATACCAATTTTTTATAAATTGAGTAGTTTATGTTTGGATTCAGCTTGAAATGATTGAGCCATCTTGACAGGTAATCTCCTATCCCACTGGTTAGTGTTTAAGGGACAAAACTGTGAACGTTTTTAGATTTTCTTATACACAGACAGTGCCTCTTGTATTCTTTCAGTTCTCTCCCCCCCCACCCCCCGCCCAGATGGTGTCTTGTTTCATTGCCTGGGTTGGCTTTGAACTCCTAGACTCAAGAGATCTTCCCACCATAGCCTCCCAAGTAGCAGGAACTATCTATTGTTGTTTGAATAGTTCTAAATAATTCTTTTTCTTTTGCAGTGTTGAAAATTGAACCCAGGGCCTCATACATATTAGGCAAGAGTTCTACCACTTATCTATGTCTCTATTCCTCTAAAAAAAAAAATTTTTTTTTAACTTGATACAGGATCTCACTAAGTTGCCAAGGCTATCCTCAAATTTGTGATCTTGCCATAGCCTCCCAAGTAGTTTGGATTACAGGTGTGTGCCACCATGTCAAGCTTAAATAATTCAATTTTTCATCATTTATTAAGTGATTGCTGTACACAGGTGGTCTTATAGTAGTTACTAATGTGCTAAGAATATAAAGGCCAAAACAGCAAGTCTACTGGACTTAGTATAAAGCTGAGCTGTGAGATGGAATACTGGGTTGGGGGGAGTAGTGGATGTGAGGCCAGGCATGGTGGCACATGTCTGTAATCCCTGCAATTTTGGAGGTTGAGGCAAGAGGGTCTCAGGTTTGACACCAGCCTCAGCATTTAGTGAGACCCTGTCTCAAAATAAAAAAAATTAAAAGTCTGGGGCTGTAGCCTTATAGAGCACCCCTGGGTTCAATCCCTAGAATAAGGGAAGGTTGGGGGCAGGGAAAATAATACAGACATCATGGTGGTGAATGCCTGTAATCCCAGCAATTTGGGAGGCTGAGACAAAATGATTATAAATTTGAGTCCAGTCTTAACAACTTAGTGAGACCTTGTCTCAAAATAAAAATAAAAAGGGCCACGGATGTGTCTCAGTGGTAAAGTGCCCCTGGGTTAAATCCCTAGTATTAAAAAAAAAAAATTGTAGATATGAAAAAACTTTCATTTAAAAGCACCAGAGATAAAGAATGAGTGTGTTTCAGCAGGAGGAAAGTTAAAAAGATTGAAAACATTTGTACCTTCTTCAGAGATTAGTTAAGGGTCAACCCAGATTATCCTTCTAGAAATGTTATGACCACCATTATAGAATTATTTGATATATTATCTATTTCAATTTTTAGATCCTTCTAATATTGTTTCATAACTTTATTTCTCCCATAGTTCCTGTATTGCTTATCATTCACATTTTGTGTGTGTTTACACACGTGTCATGCTGGGGATTGAACCCAGGGTCTCATACTTGCTAGGCAAGCTCTCTGAGCTACATCCCCAGTCTGGCCTCCCTCAAGATGGGGGTATAGCTCAATGGTAGAATGCTTGTTCAAGGCCCTAGGTTCAGTCCTCAGCACCAGAAGCGAAAACAAACTTAGCTCTTGGCTTCCTCAAAACCAAACGAATTAGATTTTTAAAATATAATGGTTTGAGGGGCTGGCGATGTAGCTCAGTTGGTAGAATACTTGCTTTGCATGTGCAATGCCTTGGGTTTAATCCCCAACACTGTCAAAAAAAAAAAAAAGGTTTGAGGCTGGGGATGTAGCTCAGCAGTAGAACTTTTTATTTAGCATGCACAAGGTCCTGGATTTGATCCTCAACACTACTGAAAGATAAATAAATAAAAATTGAAAAATAATGATTTACATTGATTTTTTTTTTAAGAGAGAGAGAGAGAGAGAGAGAGAGAATCTTTTTTTTTTTTTTTTTTTTTGTAAATGTGGTGCTGAGAGTTGAACCCAGGTCCCGCCGGTGCTAGGCCAGCCCTCTACCCTGAGCCACTATCCCAGCCCAACATTGTTTTTTGTCTTACATAATAAAGGAAATATACCATTTCATGTGAGAAACTGTATCCTGTCTTTGTAAAGTTTTTTTTCTGTCTTTGAAAATTTTTCCTAAAACAATTTTTTTTTTTTTTGTAAGAGCAATGGGCAAAGTGTATCTTTCACAAAAGTTAAAAAAAAAAAAACATAGCTTTCTTATGGACAGTTTCATATTCCTAGCCCTTTTTAAAAAGAGACTGCCAGACCAACCCAGAAAGGGCTCGTCAGGCAAATGACTGAGCTTATCTGACTCCATTATCAAGTCCATGATATGCTGGTTCCTGCATATCTTGAATGCCTCAGAGGAATAAAAGTACACTGAGTTTTAGTCCCTTTTCTGTCAGGGTATTTCCTTTCTGGGCCTGGCCAAGTTGCACAATGTCTAGGTCTCAGCAGCTTCCTAGTTTCTTCAACATGGCAGGCACTCTGTTCTCTGAATCGCTTTTTTATTTCTTTCTAGGCAGCAGCACGGCTTTGTTTCTCAGCCTCCTTTATAGTTAGGTGGGGCTTCATGACAGATTTTTGGTCAGAGGAATGGGGCCAGAAACGGTGTTTGTCAGTTGTTGATCCTAAACATACTCTTTTACACTATTTTTTTTTATTCTTTTACACTATTTTAATGTTCCCCAGCCTATTCCCTGTTGGCTGAAAGTACAGAATTCAATAAGTGAATTCCAAGACCCCACATTTCTATCCAACTCACATTAGACCGCAATGAAAACAAGAAATAAATCTTTTGGTTGTTGTTAATCTACTCAAATTTTGAGGTTATTATAACTGTAAATCATCCAATAAATTCTGATAAAAATCATTTGTTAAACTGTGTTTTGATTCAGATGTTCTGGTGCAAAAAGAAAAAAATATGCTACTTTGCCCTTTGTTTCCCCTTAGCTATGTGTAAGAAGTTGGATCCATTTAATTATTTGTTCTCAAAGTACAGAAAATGTCCCCTATAGGAAAACCCAAGATGTCTTCTAATGAGTTTCACTTTCTGAAGTTCAAATTCTCTCCAGCACTGAATCATTGTTGGCCTGTGTGACCAATTAAAAAAAAAAAGGGTGTAATTCTAAGATTAAATTATTAAAGACATGGATAGCTCCACCTTGCTTTCTCTTAGACCACCATTTGTTCTGTAGGAAACCAGCTGCCATATCACAAGGTTGTTCAAGCAGCTCTATGGAGAAAACTACATGGCAAGAAGCTGAGATTTTCCACCTACTACCAGCACCAATGTGTCAGCACCATAAGTGTGCCATCTAGGAAGCACCTTCTCTAACCTCAGTGAGGCCTGCAAATGACTCCAGTCCTGGCTCACACCTTGACTGCACCTTCTTGGGAGACCCCTAAGCCAACCACACACACTCTTGAATTCCTGACTCAGAAACCGTGACAATAAATATTTATTGTTTTAAGATACAAAGTTTAAAACACAAGATGTGAAGTTATAGGGTAATTGGGAATATGGCAGGAAGTTGCACAATACATGATAATGCTGCTTCTGAACATTTCTGGATTCTTCTCTATTTTCTTTTTTCCAGTGCTGCACATCAAACCCAGAGCCTTGTATATGCCAAGCAAGTGCTTTGCCACTAAGATTCATACCCAGCCCCAATTTCTAGATTCTTTTTTTTCTCTTTTTTTTATTTTTTTCTAGATTTTTAATGGCACTCATTTCTTGGTGGGTCACCATTGCTTGTTTTTTTTTTTTTTAAGAGAGAGAGAGAGAGAATTTTTTAATATTTATTTTTTAGTTTTCAGTGGACACAACATCTTTATTTTTATGTGGTGCTGAGGATCAAACCCAGCGCCCCACACATGCCAGGCGAATTTGTTACCGCTTGAGCCACATCCCCAGCCCCGCTTGTTCTTAAAACAGTACATACAGGAATAACTTATTCATCTCCAAGTCACAGAAGGCTGTATCAGCCCTGTAGATAAAAGGATATGGGGTGGAATCGTCTGGTAATGGCAATTTTGAAGAGTAAGGCTGAAAAATGTAAGCTGCTTTTGACATCTTCTGGAAATCTTTAAGCAAGGTGGAAGACTCTGGAATAAAAAGGATTATATTTTATCCTTATGATAAACATTTTAATTAATACTATTATTACCATGTATATTTTAAAAAGTCAATTGGAAGATCATTGAACTACTTTCAAGAATCCAAATGAGACACTCACATTTCTGCAATAGAATGACATACACCCTATGGGAAAGAAAATAATCTGAAACCCTGTGGAGCCAGCATGTGAGGGAATGACAACAATAACAATGATGATTAAATGGAATTAACGTGGAGCGCACATGCATCTTAGACTATTCCCTTCTCCCTCCTTATTTCTCACAAAGGGATTATCTTAGTCTCATATTTTCTAAAGATGAGTCAACTAGTTTAATAACTAAATCTCAGTATAAATGGCAAAACGGTGGTGAGAAGAGTTTGTGTCAAAATTCTCAGGAAAGAAGTTGGACAAAAGATGCTTCTTTTGGTATCAGAATCTTTGGATGATGGAAAGTAATGGGTTAAAGCAACTCACTAGAATGATGCAGTGGAGTTCCAGTGCATAGAGCATCATCAAGAGAGGCTGGTATTTGGGCCAGTGAGTTTCTTCCTTAGGTGGGTAGTTGACAAAATTCCTCCAGCAGTAACAATATTCTAAGGAGATACAAATAATGGTTCATTTAACAAACACAATGGCAAATTAGTTAAAGAGCTCCAATTTTAAAAAAAAGAAAAACCATATATTATAACCAGGTGTTGGTGGCACATGCCTGTAATCCTAGTGACTCAGGAGGCTGAAGCAGGAGGATCACACGTTAGAGACCAACCTCAGCAATTTAGTGAGATCCTGAGCAACTTAGTGAAACCCTGTCTCAAAATTAAAAACAAAAGGATTTGGAAATGTGACTCAGTGGCTAAGCACCCCTGGGTTCAATTCCTGGTACAAAAAAAAAAAAGTATACTATATCTGTGGTATAGCTCAGTGGTAAAGCACATGCTTAGCATGTATGAGGCTCTGGGTTCAGTCCACAGCACCAAAAAAAAAAAAAAAAAAAAAGGAAGAAGAAAAAGAAGTGGGGAAGAAAAGCACACTATCTGTTAAGGCTCTGGTCTAATTGTTGCTGGCGATGGACTCTACTAAAAAGAACAATTCATTGCAGGGTGTGATGGGGCCGATCTATAATCCCAGCAACTCAGGAGCTGAGAGGCAGGAGGATTGCAAATTCGAGGCCAGCCTTAGCAATTTAAGTGAGATCCTTAGCAATTTAGTGAGACCCTATCTCAAAATAAAAAATAAAAATGACTAGGGATGTGTAGTAGAATACCCCTGAGTTCAATCTCTATTACTACCAAAACGGTGGTGGCAAGAGTAGAAAAAGTTAGACCTGGTTCTTTCTCACATTATTTTGGACTCTCACTCCTGAGACTTGCAGCCTAGAATAATCAACTTGGCCTCCAAAGAGATCTATCACCACAGTCTTTATAAACACTTATGATTCTGTTTACTGTTGTTACCTGAGACTGTCATAATCTGGACAGTTACACCACTGTTAATGAGGTCCCTAAGTCCTTGACGATTTTGCTGATCCATGTGCTGAAAAAGCCGTGCTGTATAAATAACCAGAATCATATTAGGATGTTGACTCAAAAATTCTCTGATAGCCTTGGAACATTCCCAACAAGGACTCCAGGACAAGAACCAGGTGATGGAACAGCTGATGGATGGGCAAAAATGTCTTTCCGCAGTAAATTTTTCTATAAAATTCACTTCAACATGATTGGTGGTGTTTTTGCTGGAGTTTCTCCAGATCTTGTGGCTCGTGCCCCACTTGATTTCATAGAACATACAGGTCTCTTTGCGAAGTTTTCCAGGGTCAAAGAAGACTTCAAATTCCCAGGGTTCAATTCTCCTCCTGAAATATAAAAAGTGGCCCTAGATTGCTTTTTCTAGGTCCCATGAAATCCTAGAAATCATTTCATGCTTCCCTCTTCTATTAAGCAGATCTGAACCATGACATCTCTGAAAGTTTTCTATTCCAGGTTTCAGAGTTATCTGTAGAAGTTCATTTGAATTATCAGAGTTTCTCTCACAAACATAGTAAAAGGATTTCTTTTTTTCCTAGTCATAGTATTCGATGACTACTCTCTAATGCTATTGTTTCATTTTATTTTATTTTGTTTAGATATACATGCAAGTAAAGTGAATTTTGACATATTATACATACACAGAGTATAATTTATTCTAATTAGGATCCCATTCTGTGGTTGAACATAATGTGGAATTTCATGGGTGGTGCATTCATAATGAACATAGGAAAGTTATATCTGATTCATTCTAGTGCCTTTCAATACCATTGTTTTAGTCTTGAATTTAGGCATAAGTGTGTTCTGGTTTTTCTTTTGAAGATTTTTTACTATATAGTAATCTCTATTTTTCCTTTTCTTTTTCTTTTTCCTTTCTTTTTTTATTCTCCTGCCTCAGCCTTTTGAGTAGTTGGGCTTATAGGTGTGCTCCACTAGGTCCAGTTTATATGCTAATCTTTCTATTTCACACTTAGAGGTGTCCTGTCTCAGTACTTATCTTCACTGTTTCTCTGTGGACTCTAACCAGATTTTGGCAAGTGTTGAAGTCTGGAAGAATCTTCTTGCCAACAAATTCTGCAGTGAAGTCTGAGAAAAGAGCAGTTTAGCCTCAAGAGTCTTCCACTTTAGAATTCTGTATGCCAATTCATTGTAAGAAAGAAACAAAAAAATGCTCTCAATGATCTTTAGATTTTAACACTCTCCATGTCTGAAAGCTGTTACTCAGGAAAAATTCAGGATTGTGCTGAGGGCTCCTCTATGCCACGATTAAGTTACAGGTTTATTACATCCTCATTGTTCCCACTCATCCCTGAAATGCCATATTGAGTTATTTCATAGATCAGCCCTTCCCTTTCAACCATCATGAGATGGTATATCCTTGATGATTCCCTGTAGAAGTCTGGAAAATGATCAAATAGAAAGATGAAATCAAAGTAACAAACAGTTCCCCCAACATTGCACTGAGGGCTATAAAAACATACGATTTAATGAGAAAAGTTGAATAGTAAGACAACAGAGAAGCAAGCTGGAAAGTAATTTCTTTGAATGAAACCGAAGGACATAGGAACAAAGATATAAAAAGAAAAAGCAATACTCAAAGAAAATTAAGTTGGAAAAGTCACAAAGAAAGGAAGAATTGGAACATGGTAAAAGAAGAATGTTACCTATGATGTAAAGAATAAAATGATGTCATTTGCTGATAAATGAATGGAACTGGAAAACATCATATTAAGTGAAATAAGCCAAACTCAGAAAGGATCAAATGTTTTCTCTCATATGGGAGAAAGGGGCAGGGATGGATTAAAAAAAAAAAAAAAAAGAGGGATCTCACAAAAATAGAAGGGAGGCCAATAGAGTAGAAGAAGGGAATTGAAAGACAGGGAGGAGAGGAGGGCATGGGAAAGTACTATGGAAAGAAATCTACCAAATTTGCTATGTCTATGTATGAATGTATCACAATGAATTCTATTTGTATATATAATAATAATAATGCACTAATTGAAATAACAATAGTGATAATAGAAGGGAGTTCAGTAGAAAAAAACAAATAGATCAGGAGGTGGGAGTTGGGGAGGGAAAGGGAAGGTACTAGGGAATGAGACTGATCAAATTATATTATGTGCATGTACAAATATGGCATAAGGTGTCCCACTATCGTGTATAATAATAATGCATCAATAAAATGTTTAAAAGAAGAAAGGAACAATAAAAAGTCTGTAGTTCTGCAAATATTGAATTGTCATTTATTCTTGATTGAATTGAATTGCACTGTGAGTGCAATATTATTCTTACCTCAGAGTAGCATCACCAGTTGAAGGACCTGTTGATCAAGAGATAATTATATCAAATAACACCCAAATACAAATTGAGCTATTAAGAAAAAGTGCTCTATTCTTCTAAACCTGCAAATGATACCTGTAAATGAATTTAGAAGATTCTTTTGTGGATTCATTGCACTGAACTAGTTCATTACACCAAAGAAAAGCAAGATTTTTAAGGTCTCTGCTGAAATCTACTTGACAGATGCCCAATTCAAACCAGATAATCCAGCTTGGGATTGTAGCTCAGTGTAGAGCACTTACATAGCATTTGAGAGGCCTTGGGTTGGATTCCCAGCAACAAAGGAAAAGAAACAAAACAAAATACGGAGCCCAGCTCAGTGGCATACACTTGTAATCCTAGATACTCAGGGGCTGAAGCAGGAAAATCACAAATTAAAGGCCAGTCTGGGTAATTTATGAGATCCTGTCTCAAAATAAAAAGGGGTGGGGCTATAGCACAGTGGTAGAGCACCCTAGGTTTTCAATCTCCAGTAAGACATACACACACACACACACACGTACACGTACACACATATACAGGAACAAAGATATCTGGTAGGGAAATGCAAATTAAAACTACCCAGATATATTTTCCTACCAGAATATTTAAATATACATATAGGAAAGTCAAGACAAGGTATCCAGATTTTTAAAAAATTATTATTATTTTTATTACTATTTTGTATATGTGGTTCTGGAGACTGAAACCAGGAGTGCTCTACCACTGAACCATATCCTCGGATCTTTTAATTTTTAATTTTGAGATAGGGTCTCACTAAACTGCTTGGGTGGCCTCAAGCTTGTGTTCTTCCTGCCTCAAATTTTCTCATTGCTTAGATTATAGGCATGCCAAATGCCCAGGAGCAAACATTTCAGTTAAATAAGGTGTTTGGTTTCCCCCTACTCTGTCCCCTCCATATGTTACTTAAAATATAATTTTAATAGAGGCAGAAAAAAATACATTCTTACTTAGGCTGGGGTTGTACTCAGTGGCAGAGCGCTTGCCTCTCTGTGAGAGGTACTGGGTTTAATTCTCAGCACCACATATAAATAAATAAATTAAGTAAAGGTCCATCAACAACTAAAATAAATAAATAAATACATTGTTACTTAAACTCCAAACTTATGTCTCAGACTCCCTGCCCTACCACACAGTACACTATTGCATTAGTCTTCTAATTGATCTCCTTACTCCAGTCTTTTCTGCTTCCAACCTGAAATCCACCAGGTACTAAGTAAATGTTTCTAAAGCACTATTTTAGTCATATCTCTATGAAATTCAGAAATTCTCTGAAGATTTTTTAACAAAAAGATAAACCTCCATTTTTTTAAACCTGGCATTCAAATTATAATAACACTTCAATATGCTTTCTAGTCTTACTGCAGATTATTTCCATCAATTCTCTTCTAGCTTAACCAGTTTCTTCATTATATTCTAAACAAAGATCTTTGTAAAGTCTCTTAAAATCATTTTTTTTCAATAGGATTCAAACAACAAGGAACTTCTCTTTCTTGCAATCCAAATTCTACCCTCTTAATATCCAGCTCCAATCCACTTCATCTGACATCACCTTTTTATACATCTGAGGTGTCTTTCCTTATGAATTTTTCTAACTCAAGTAACTGCTCATTAACTTCAATTAATCATTGTCAATTCATTTGTCAATTAGCACATTGGCCTTGTGCTATTGCTTCTGTTCTATTAATTCGAAAGTTATAATTTTACTTATTTTTGTGTGTGTATATGGTACTGGGGATTACAAAAAGGGCCTTGCACATTCTAGACAAGCACTCTATCACTGAGCTACCCAGGCCCCTTAATTTTTTTTTTTAATGATGAAACCAGCACTTAGTAAATGTCACTTAGTGTCATTTAATCATAATCATTTGGAGTCATAAATAATTCATTATAATAGTAATATATCTTGTTTAAGGGTAATATTTATATATTAATCAATAACAGGAAAGTTGAAAAATGCCCAAAGATGCATGCACAAGCAGGTCACATACACATATAATTTTACACTGCTCAAGAAGATAGACCCAGGCTGGGAAAAGGGGTGTGTATCTACAATCCCAGCTGCTTGGGAAGCTGAGGCAGGAGAATTACTTGAACCCAGGAGTCCTGGACAGTCTGGGCAACATAGTGAGACTCTGACTCAAAAAGAAATAAAAGAATATGGTCTTTGCCAGATCCCTGAATCCATTTTACCTTTCTCAGAAGTCATGCTGCTCTGTCTCTGGACTCCTTCCTCTAGAGCTTGTCTTGGCTCACTGCTTCTGCCAGTAATATACCTGAACTTTGTTTCTTCAGGTGTGCCCACTGCCACAGACTTAGAGAATGACTCATTTCTGAGTTTCAGGGAGTCATTGGGCATCTAGACTAGACAACCTGGCAGCAGAGGGAAGTTAGTATGGGGATTTGCACCTTTGTTGATAAGAAAGCCTATGATGCAAATAACGTTAACCCTGCAGAGTAGATCATTGGGAGCACTAAATTTTAAAGTTCCTTTCTGATGACATCTGCATTTAGAAAGTATTCTCTTTCCTTTGAATTAAAGTAAGATAGACACATCATTCTTTAATGCAGTGAAGAGAGAAAATAGAAAGGTGAGAGAATTAAACTGTTTTTTATAACCTGAAAGTTTTCAGTATTATCTGGTGAGAACATTATGTATTACTTCCTCTCATTTTGCCCTTTGCCCCAAATCCCTGTTGGAAAGGAAAGGGTACAGTAAGATGCAAAATCAAAAGGACCTTGGCCTCTGAGTCAGATAATCAGTGTATAGCTAGCTCTGTGGCACTCTGGCCCCCACCTTGAAGCTAATTCATTCCTGCTTTGTTATTCCTCTTGAAAAAAAATATATATAGTATGCTTCCTTATTTCTGCTGTGTTCTGTTGCCTGCACCTGGGTCAAGTTCAAATGACTACATTTCTGGATCTCAGCATTCACTCCCAGAACTGAGGTCTCAAGAATTAAGTCTCCCTCTTACTGAGCCTCAGAACCTTGAATCTCAAGGACCCATGAATCTTAAAACTATACCTTAAACAAAAGATTTAGTGTGGAGGGTGGTGAGTTGTTCATGTCTGTAATACTAGCTAGTCAGGAAGCTGAGTCAGGAGATCCTAAATTCAAGAACTATCTGGGCAATTTAGTGAGATCCTGTCTCAAAATAAAATAAAAAGGGCTGGGGATGAAGTCAGTCCAGTGGCAGAACACTTGCTTAACATTCATGAGGCCCATGGGTTGAACCCCTAGATTTAAAAAAAAAGGTTTAATTTTGAAAGACAAGCAGGAGGGGCCTGGGGTTGTGGCTCAGTGGCAGAGCGCTCGCCTAGCATGCATGAGGCACTGTGTTCGATCCTCAGCATCACATAAATATAAAGGTATTGTGTCCATCTAAACCTAAGAATAAATATTTAAAAAAAAAAGACAAGCAGGAGCTTTCACAAGATAAAGCAGTTATTTCCACAGTGGCAGATGAGCATTTGAAGAAAGGCCAGAAACTCCATATCATAAATAAAGGTCCTTCAGAGGCCAAATTTTACCACGTTAGGCAAATGTAGAATAATGGTAGTCTTAAGGTAAGGTAATATCCACCCCAAATAAAGATGTCTATGTCCCAATCCTTGGAATCTATAAGAATGTTATTTTCCCTTACAAAAAAATTCTTTGCAAATGGACACTTAAGGGTCTTAGAGAGATTATTCTGATCCAGGTGGGGTGAGCAGAAACAGAGAAGGAATTATGAAGACAGTAGCAGAGATCTGAGTGATTGATTGCTGCCTTGAAGGGGCCCATGATACAAGGAATTAGGCAGCCTCTTGGAGCTGAAAAAGGCAAGGAAATGGATTCTCCCTTAGAATCTCCAGAAGGAACACTGGCCTATGACCCCTGATTTTAGCCCAGGGAGATCCATGTGAGTTTGGAGATATATGTAATTATTCCACATTCAAGATATTTAAAATTCCTATTGCCCGCCCCCCAAATTATCTGTGTCTGTTGCAGTCAACCCTCCTACTCCTAGGCCCAGGGAATCGCTGATCTTTCTGTCACTGTAAATTCGTCTTGACTAATCTAGAATTTCATACAAATGGAATCATACAATGTATACACTGATCTTTTTTTTTCAGTACTGAGGAGTGTTCACGCATAGGCACTCTATCACTGAACTATATTCCCAGCCCTTTTTATCTCTTATTTTGAGACAGTCTCACTAAATTCCAGGCGTAAACTTGCAATCCGCCTACCTCAGCCTCCCACATGTCCAGCCATATGTTTGCTTTTGTCTTTGCTTCTTTTGCTCAGCTTGTCTATAAATTTGATCCAGGTGATTAAGTATATCAGTGGTTCATTTTCTTTTAGTGCTAAGTAGTATTCCATTTTATTGTGCATGCTATAGTTTGTTTATTCATTTCACCTACTGATAGTCTTTGGGTTATTTCCAACTTCTAGATTTTCATGAATAAAGCTGCTGTGAACATCTGTGTACAACTCTTTGTGTCAATGTATATTACTTTTTCTTTCTCTTGGGTAAATATGTAGAAGTGGGACTGCTGGATCAAATAACTATGTATACATTTAGCTTTTTTTTTTTTTTTGAGAGAGAGAATTTTAATATTTATTTTCTAGTTTTCGGCAGACACAACATCTTTGTTTGTATGTGATGCTGAGGATCAAACCCGGGCTGCATGCATGCCAGGCGAGCGTGCTACCACTTGAGCCACATCCCCAGCCCTACATTTAGCTTTTAAGAAAATGCCAAATTGTTATACCAGTTTATATTCCAACCAGGAGTACATGAAAATTCCTCATTGACACTTAGCGATCTAATTATGATTTTACTTTACATTTTCCTGGTGTACTCATGTTGAGCATCTTTTTATGTGTTTATTACTTATTTTTACATCTTCTTTTTTTAAAGTTGGTTAAACTGCTCTGGCCATTTTCTAATGTTTTTAAATTTTGTGGGTTGGGGTACTGAAGACTGAACCCAGGGACACTTTACCACTGAATGGCACCCCCAGTCCTTTTTATATTTCATTTTGAGACAGGGTCTCACTAAGTTGCTTTGGGCACTACTAAGTTGCTGAGGCTGACCTGTTGCTGAGGCTGACCTCAAACTTGAGATCCTCCTTCCTCTCAGCCTCCAAGTCACTGGGATTACAGGTATGCATCATCACTTGTCACTCCAGGCTCTAATTTTTTTTGTGTGTGTGTCTCCTGAATATCACAGTTCTTTAGATACTGGGGATTTCAATCTTGCTGTATCTGTGTATATATTTCCTTCAGTCTTTTATTTCCTAACTTTTTTTTTTTTTTGTATTTTATTTAGAGACAGAGTCTAACTGAGTTGCAAAGTACCTCACCGAGTTGCTGAGGCTGGCTTTGAATTTGTGATCCTCCTGACTCTGCCTCCCGAGTCGCTGGGATTACAGGCATGCCGCCACCGTGTCTGGTTTAATGTTGTTTTTTGATAAGCAGAAATTTAATGAACTTTTAGTGAAGCTCAATTTATCAATTTGACTTTTTTTAAAATATATATCACTAGTGCTTTACTTCGTTTTTTGTTTTGGTACTGGGGATCGAATCAAGGGGTGTTTTACCACTGAGCTACAACCCCAGTCCTTTTTATTTTTAAAAAATATTTTTTAGTTGTCAACCCTTTATTTTATTTATTTATATGCAGTGCTGAGATCAAACCCAGTGCTTCCCATATGCTAGGCAGGCGCTCTACCATGAGCCAGGACACCAGACCCCTTTTTGTTTTTTTATTTTGCAACAAAGTCTCACCAAGTTGCCCCAGGCTGGCCTTGAATTTAAGATCCTCTGCCAAGCCTCCTGAGTCACTTCCTGGAATTACAGGTGTGTACCACTGCACCAGTCTATTTGGTTTTTGAGTTGGAGGTCACGCTGTGTTGCCCAGGCTGGTCCTGAACTTCTGGGTTCAAACAGTTCTCCTACCTGGCTATTTTTTCCATTTTTTAAAATTTTACTTTATTTATTTATTATTATTTGGTACTGAGGATTAAACCCAGGGGTTCTTTACCACTGAGCCACATACCCAGCCCTTTTATTTTTCCTTTTGAGACAGGTTCTCACTAAATTGCTTAAGGACTCACTAAATTGGTGAGGCTAGCCTTGAACTTGTGGTCCTTGTGCCTCAGCCTCCCAAGTCACTGGGATTATAGGCATGTGTCCCCACACCTGGAAAATTTTATTTTATTTTTGTAGTCTTGGGGATGTCAGAGACTCATGCATGTTAGACAAACATTCTACCACTCCAAGCCCCATGGTTGGTGTTTTTGTTTATGAAATAACTGTCAACTCAAAGATAATGAGGATATTTCCCTCCTTTACACAGAAACTCACACATTTGTGGTTAATTAAGTTCACTTTTTCTTTTCTTTTTTGTGGTATTGGGAATTGAACCCAGGGTCTATGCATGCTAGGCAAGTGCTCTACCACTGAGCCACATCTTTTTTTTTTTTTTTTTGGTGGTGATGCTGGGGATTGAATCCAGGGCCTTGTGCATGTTAGGCAAACTCTCTACCAACGGGGATAAAATAAAACTAGCTGTATCCCCAACCCATGACTATGTTTTTAATTGTGGTAGAAATATATAACACAACATTTACCATCTTAACCATTTTGAGTATACTGTTTAGTAGTGTTAATATTCATATTGTTGAATAACTGATCTCCAAAACTTTTTCCTACTGGCAAATTGAAACTCAACATGTGTTTAAAAAAAAATTACCCATTTCCTCATCCCCCCATCAGCATTCTACTTTCTGCTTCTATGAATTCAACTACACTGAATACCTTAACTAAGTAGAATCATGCAAAATTTGTCTCTCTGTGAATGTTATTTCACCTAGTATGATTTCCTCAAGATTCACTTACATTATAGCATTATATTGTATTTCCTTCAGATTTTTCTTTTCTTTTTCTTTTTTCTTTTTTTCCTTCAGAGGTTTGAACCTAGGGTCTCCCACATGTTAGGAAAATGTTCTACCACTAAGCTACACCACCAGCATAAGGATTTCTTTTCCCTTTTATGTCTGAATAATATTCCATTGTATGTACTCTATATAACAAAACAACAAATAGATAAATTGAACTTCATCAAAATTTAAAACAATTGTAAGACAAAGACAGCATCAAGTAAGTGAAAAAAGAGTTGGGCACACCTGTAATCCCAGCAATTCCAGAGGCTGAAGCAGGAGAACCTCAAGTTCAAGGCAAGCCTCATCAACTTAGCAAGACCTTGTGTCAAAATGAAAAATAAAAAGAACTGGGATGTAGCTCAGTGGAAAAACATCCCTCAGTTCAATTCTCAATACCAAAAAATAAAACAGATAAGTAAATAAAAACTAAAATAGGCAAAGTATTTGAATAGATATATCCCCAAAGAATATATATATATATTTATATATAAATAGAGCATAAGTACACAGAAAGAGCTCAATGTTATTAACTGTTAAAAAAATAATTTTTAGGGCTGGGGATGTGGCTCAAGCGGTAGCGTGCTCGCCTGGCATGCACGGGGTGCTGGGTTCAACTCTCAGCCCCACATAAAAATAAAATAAAGATGTTGTGTCCACTGAAAACTGAAAAATAAATATTAAAAAAAATTTCTCTCTCTCTCTCTCTCTTTAAAAAAATAAAAAATACTAATTTAAAAAAATTTTTCAGTTTTCTTGGTACTTTGGTATTGAACCCATGGTGATTTACCACTGACATATATCCTCAGTATTTTTTTTTTTAAGATAGGGTCTCTTTAAATTGCTGAGGGCCTTACTAAATTGTAGAGACTGGTCTTGATATTGCCATTCTCCTAAATCAACCTCCAGTGTTTCTGTGATTACGGGCATGAGGTACTGTGTCCAGTAGGACTATATTGCCTGGCGTGGTGGCACATACCTGTAATCCCAGCAGCTCTAGAAGCTAAGGGAGGAGGAATGCAAGTTTGAGGCCAGCTTCTGCAATTTGGCAAGGTCCTAAGCAATTTAGCAAGACTCTGTCTCAAAATAAAAATTTAAAAGGGCTGGAGATTTGGCTCACTGATTAAGTGCTCAAATTCAATCCCAACTACCAAAAACAGAAAAAGGGGCCTGGGGTTGTTGCTCACAGGTAAGTGCTTGCTTAGCATTTGCAAGGTCATGGGTTAAATCCCAGCACCACACAAACTGACAATAACCAGCATTGTTGTGGATACTGAAAAACTGAAACCTTAAATTATGCACTGTGGTGCATGCTAGTACTCCATCAGGAGGCTGAGTCAGGAGAATTGCAAATTCAGAATTGCAATCAGTGAAACCCCATCTCAAAATAAAATGAAAAGAGCTGAGGATGTAGCTCAAAGTTAGAATATTCCTGGGATTGCTCCCTAGTACCAAAAAAAAAAAAAAAATTGAAATCCTCATGTTGCTGTTAAAATTGTAAAATGGTTCAACTGCTAGGAAAAAAAGTTTGTTTTTCAAAAAGTTAAGTTAAAGGACTCATACAGCTGGACGTGGTAGCGCACACCTGAAATCCTAATGGTTCAGGCAGCTGAGGCAGGAGAATTGTAAGTTTAAAGCCAGTCTCAGCAAAAGCAAGGTGCTAAGCAACTCAGTGAGATCCTGTCTCTAAATAAAATACAAAATAGGGCTGGGGATATGCCTCAGTGGTTGGGTGCCCCTGAGTTCAATCCCCAGTAACAAAAAAAACTTGGAATGGAACCACCTTTTGACCCAGCTATCCCACTCCTTGGTCTATACCCAGAGGACTTAAAAACAGCAGTGACACAGCCACATCAATGTTTATAGCAGCATGATTCACAATAGCTAAACTATGGAACCAACCTAGATGCCCTTCAATAGATGAATGGATAAAGCAACTGTGGTATATATAAACAATAGAATATTACTCAGAAATAAAATTATGGCATTTTCAGGTAAATGGATGGAGTTGGAGAATATCATGCCAAACAAAGTAAACTAATCCCCCAAAAAAACAAAGGTTGAATGTTTTCTCTGATAAGTGGATGCTAATCTATAATGGCAGGGTGTGGGGCATGGGATGAGTGGGGGAACTTTGGATTGGGAAAAAGGTCAGGGAGGGGGTGAGGCATGGTGATAGGAAAGAGGGTGGAATGAGATGGACATCATTACTCTAGGTACCTACCTGTATGATTGCACAAATGTGTTATCCTACTTCATGTACAACCAGAGAAGTGAAAAATTGTGCTCTATTTGTATACTATAAATCGAAGAGCATTCTGCTGTCATGTGAAACTGATTAGAACAAATGAATTTTAAAAATTTCAAAAAAAGCACCCATACAGAATGAAACTACCATTTGACCCAGCTATCCCATTCCTTGGTCTATACCCAAAGGACTTAAAAAAAGGGATACAGCCACATCAATGTTTACTGCAGCACAATTTACAATATCTGAACTGTGGAACCAACCTAGATGCCCTTCAGTAGATGAATGAATAAAGAAAATGTGGTATATATACACACAATGGAATATTACTCAGGATTAAAAGAGAATAAAATCATGGCATTTGCAGGTTAAGTGAATGGAGTTAGAGAATATAATGCTAACTGAAGTTAGCCAATCCCCAAAGAACAAATGCCAAATATTTTCTCTGATTTAAGGATGCTGTTCATAATGGGTTGTGAAGGTGGAACATGGAAGGATTAAATGAACTCTAGTTAGGGAAAAGGGGTGGAAGGAAAAGGGAGCGGGCATGGGGCTAGAAAAGACTGTGGAATGAGATGGACATCATTACCCTGAGTACATGTATGAAGACACAAATGGTGTAACTCTTCTTTTTGTACAGAGATGAAAATTGTGTTGTATATGTGTAATGTGAATTGTAATGCATTCTGCTGTCATATATAACAAATAGAATAAAAAATAAATTTTAAAAAAAGTGCCCATACAATCTGGCAATTCTAAGAAAGCTGAAAACATATTCACTGTACATGAATGTTCATAACATGACCATTGATAAGAGCCCAAATGTTAGAAAGAGCCCAAATGTCCATCATTGGATAAGTGGATAAATATATGGTAGTATGCCCATACAATGGAATATTAATCTGCTATAAAAAAACAAAGGAATGAAAGATTGGGCACAATGGCTCATGCTTATAATCTCAGTTACTTAGGAGGCTGAGGCAAGAGCTCAAGGCAAGTCTGGGCAATTTATCAGGACCTTCTCCCAAAATTAAAAAATAAGATGAGCTGGATATACTCAGTGGTAGTTTTCCATGAAGCAACTGAAAAATTCTATGCAAAATAGTGTATGCATTATTTCCTGATGAACAGTCAATATGTTTTATCAGATCCTCAGAATATCAATAGATCCTTGGATTCCTGAGATATAATGAACCACTTATGTTTTAATAGATTTGTTCTTCCCTATTTGTTTTATGTTTTGCTTTGTGGTGCTGAGACAGAACCCAAGGCTTCACACATGCTAGTTAAGTGCTCTACAACTGAGCTACACCTCCTCTGTTTTGTTTTTTGAGATGAGTTTTTCTCCCTGTGCTGCCTAAACTGTCCTGAAATTCCTGTACTCTAGCACTCCTGCCTGAGTATCTGGGCCTACAGACTGAGGCCAGCATATCCAGCTTGCTCTTCCCTGTTTTGATCAGCAGAGGGCAGAAAAGCAATACAATTAGCAGAGTCAGCCCGCACTACATAAATCTCTAAAACTCCTCAGGTCTTCAATTTCTACCATCTATTTCCTTTCTACCTTTGCCTTTTCACAAGCCTAAAATTCTTTAACTGGGAGCTCCCATCTTTCTCTATCAAAATTCCTACCATCACTGAGTATAATATTAAAACAGCACTTCTTTTATTTAGATAGATTAGCGTAGTACAGTGGCACATGCTTGTATACCAGCTACTTGGGAAGATGAGGCAGTAGGACCACAAGTTTGAAGCCAGTCTTGAACTTAATGAGACCTTCAGCAACTTAGTGAGATCCTGTATCAAAATAAAATAAAGGGGGGGGGGCGGGTCTTAAGATGGACGCCGGGCAGCCGCTTCCTGACCGGTGAGTAGGGCTCATCGCTGGGCTGGTTCCTGGCTGGCTCGGGCTCTGCGGCGACGGGTCCGAGAGGGCCGCGGGAGGGCAGCGGAGGAGCCAGGCTCTGCGGCCCGACGGTTCCTTGCCCGGGGCACCTGGAACAGGCCCACGGGAGCCCTGGCGGGGTCATTGCGGCGCCTTCCTCAGCCTGTTAGTGCGTTTCTCGGTCCCAGACGGGCCAAAGTGAGAAGGGGTGAGGGGGCTTTCGGAGGAGGAGGCAGGCTCCTATTTACACTGCAGTGTCCCGGAAAACAGCTCCAGGTAGTGCGAACGCCGGCAGGCTGGACTTGGGCGCCGGAGCCCGCGGCGGTCAGTTCCATGCCCGGACGGGGTTCTGCCGGCTTGGGGACCTGGCCGTGACACCGCCGTCCGTGAGCCCGCGGAGCTCCGTGCTGTCTCCAACCCTAAGAAAAGATGTGGAGTGGACTGCTGCCTCCTGGCCTAAATGAAAGTGATGTTGAGTCAAATTCTGAAGATGAAGCCACACTGGAGAAGTCTGAACTCGACTTACAGGAAAATAAAGAGGATGGGACTAATAGAGACACAGAAATCTCAAGTTTCCCAGCAGATGGACCAAAAACAGAAACAGAGGCCAATATAGATGCATATGAAGAATGCCCTTCTGGAATTCCCTTAAATTTGTGGAATAAATTTCAAGAATTGCATAAAAACCATTCTGAACAGAAAATCTCAACCTCAAGATTCAGAGGGAAAAAGAGAAAACGCTCCAGAAAAGATAAACTGAAGAATGAAAAAGAATCTCATAGTGAACAGCCTTTAAATGAAACCCAATGGAAGGAGCTTACTCAGTACTTTGGAGCCAATGATAGATTTGAACCCCCTGTTAAAAAGAAAAAAGTTGAAAAGTCAGGTCTTGAAAAGAGGATAGACCAGGCTGTGGAGGAATGGGATGTTGAGAAGGCTGAAGAACTCAGCAACCAGCTTGCTACTCGAGAGCTTGGTGTAAAAATTGCCAAAGCAATTGCCTGTCACAAGTTTGTAAAAGCCAAAAAGGAGGCTGAAAACTCTCAGGCTGCTCGAAAAAAGAAGAAACTTGCGTGGGGATTTGAAGCAAAGAAGAGATGGGAAACCAAAAGCAACATGGGATATATGTAATTTGTCAGAGTTCTTCAAGACACTTGCAGAAATTTACTGAAAAGATTTTCCTACTTAGGTTAAATATATCAGGAAATTGATAGAAGTAGAAAAAATAAGCATAAAACTATGGAGTTGATTATCAACTCTTTTCAGCCTTTTCATAAGGAGTTCTTTCTATTGAAGTGGATGAAATGAAGCATTTTATTATTTATGTAAGGAATCTAAGCATACATACAAGAAAAGAAATGGGATTTAATTTATTTATTTGTATAGACCTACAGTATAAAATCAATTTTGCTTTTCATGTGTTTGGTATAGCATAGCCTGTGAGGTCCTTGTACTTGCCTATCTGTTCTTGGCATAACTACGCTTTTTTCTAGAATTGTGTTTTTAAGATTGGCTTTTGTTTATAATGGATTAATTATAAGTGCAAGTAAGTCTCAATTGATGCTGTCTTTACAAATGACTTTAATTACCCTGATGTCATCAAAACAACTTTTTTATTCTTTATTGGAGGCACTAGAGTTGATATTTCAAAGTCACATATTAAAAGCAATTGATATATTTTGCATACCTTCTGATTATTTTTGCATACCTTCAATTGGAAGGTGTGCAAATACTTTAGAATGTAGTATTTGGAGGATGGTTTAAATTCAGCACGGCCTAGAAATGTTTTCCTAAATATCTCGTGACCTTGTCATTCTTTAAATTGTGAGATGATTCTTGGAATAGAAAGTGGTAAAATTATATTAAGCAGACAATTATAACTCAAGATAACATAACTTTGAATTGTCTAAAAAATAAATAAATAAATAAATAAATAAAATAAAGGGCTCAAAATAAAAATTTTAAATAATATCTCAGTAGTAAAATGTTCCTGGGTTCAATCCCCAGTTCGCCCCATATATAAGATGTTTTCATTTCTCATTTGCATTTGGTTTATGCCTATGGTAGTTACCATATTCTCCCTTCTACATTAGCGATTCATTTATTTAGTATTGTTGGAACCAAGCCTTTAACACATGGCTCTCAAAATACAAATTATAGCACAAGTTAAATAAATTTGTACGCTTTTCTATTGTTAATCTGTCTCTGGTTATAAGTGCCCCAGCCATGAACCTAGCAATGGGTCAGCAAAGAAATCTCTTAAAAATCTCTTCCCACAGGGCATGGTGACACACACCTGAAATCCCAGCAACTCAGAAGGCTAAGGCAGGAGGATCACAAGTTCAAAGCTAGCTCAGCAACTTAAAGAAGCCCTAAGCAACTTAATAAGACCCTATTTCAAAATAATAAAAAAGGGCTAGAGATGTGGCTCAGTGATTAAGCACCTCTGGGTTCAATCCTAGGACCAAGTGGGGGAAAAAAATCTCTTTTCCCCTACAAAAGCATTCAGTAAACATCAAACTGAATAGAAATGAATTAAATTGATGGTAGTATTTCAAACTAAACTGATTTGTGTATTAGTAGAAAAGCCTGCCATTGAGATGAGCTGGGCACAGTGTCATATGCCTGTACTTGGGAGGCTGAGGCAGGAGGATTGCAAGTTCAAAGTCAGCGTCAGCAATTTAGTGAAGCCCTAAGCAACTTATCAAGACTCTGTCTCAAAATAAAAAATTAAAGATCAGGATGTGGCCCAGGGGTTAAGCACCCCTGGGTTCAATCCCCAGCACAGAAATAAACAAAAAAAAATTATTTATGTTTTGGAATAAGTAGTTCTACTTGCCACAACCAAAGCACAGGATATAACTTGACCTACAGGATACATATTCTGCCTATTAGTAGACTGTCCTGACAGACATTTAAGACATTAAGTCTCCTGTAGCCTGGCTATTCAGGAGGATGAAACAGTTGAGAGTTTGAGGTCAGCCTGGGCAACTTATCTAGACCCTGTCACTAAATAAAATTTTACCAGCGGCTCAGGAAGCTGAGACAGGAGAATTGCAAATTCAAAACCAGCTTTAGCAATAGCGAGGCGCTAAGCAGCTCAGTGAGACCCTGTCTCTAAATAAAATACAAAATAGGACTGGGGATGTGGCTCAATGGCCAAGTGCTCCTGAGTTCAATCCCCAGTACCCCCCAAAAAATTTTGTTTTAAAAGGCTAGGATGTAGCTCAATGATAGCATACCACTGGGTTCAATCCCTGTAATATACACACACACAAACACAGAAAGAGAGAGAAACAGCATAATATAGGTACCAAAGTCATGAAGCTGGTTATGTATATATTCTTCTGAATAACTGCAAGAAGGTCTCAGGAGATGACTTAATTAATTCAGAAGAACAAATCGCCAACCACAGAATTACTGCAAGAAGGGAAAAGCCACTATCCTTTTAATATTTTGTCTTGTTTCTTTTGTAGTACTGTAAATAAAACCCAGGGACTTGTACATGCTAAGTATGCACTTTACCACTGAGCTACATCCACAACCCTTTTTACTTTGAGAGAGGATATTGCTAAATTGCCCAGGCTGGCCTTGAAGTTACAATCCTCCTGCCTCAGCTTCCTGAGTAGCTGGGATTAGAGGAGTGTACCACCATGCCCAGCTAATGCAAAGATATTAAACAAATCAGTCCCTAAATCAAAACCTATTTATTAGACTAAGTAAATCTCATAGTAATAATTGAGTTGAAGTAAATTTACTAAAGCATCCTCAGGAATCAGCTGAGGTTTTGGCATATACTTGTAATTTCAGAAATTAGCCTGGGGCTGGGGGTACAGCTCAATGATAGAGTGCCTGCATGAGGCTCTGGGTTTAATCTTCAATACTAAAAAATAAATAAAAACACACACACACACACACACACATTTATATAAACAATTGATTCATTACTTTTTCCATTTTAGTTGTTCCAGTAGGTAAAGTGAGTGAATTCATGCTTCCTGATATGAGCCAAAGCATTTTACCATGTCTAGATTTACATTTGAAATCTATGTAAATTTTGCTTTTTCCCCCAACTATGTGCAGTTTTGTTTTATTATTTATTTATCATTTATTATTACATTAATTGTTACAAGAGTTAATTTATGCCTTTGACTTAGTGATTCCATATCTGAAAAATTTCTAAGGAGGTGGGGACAAAGGATGGGCAATGACATGAACAATTAGCACTATTCCATCATGGAAATTGCGAATGACATAATACCCAATAATAATGTTCTTAAGTAAATTGTGGATGCCTAAATAATTATATATAGCACATGCTTAAATTATGTAGATGTTGACAATTAGAAAAAATCTGATATAATTGTCAGAAAAGAAACAAAATCATTTATACAGTGTGATCTGAGTTATAGGGTCATATATAAGATCTATTAAAAAAATCACTAGGGGATGGGGTTGTGGCTTAGCAGTAGAGGACTCACCTAGCATGTGGGAGGCCCTGGATTCAATCCCCAGCACCACATAAAAATAAATAGAATAAAGGTATTGTGTTCAAATACAATTAAACTAAATATTTAAAAAAAAAAAAATCATGTGGTATTGCACGCCTGTAATCCCAGTGGCTCAGGAAGCTGAGGCAGGAGGATCCTGAGTTCAAAGCCAGCCTCAGCAATGGCAAGGCACTAAGCAACTCAGTGAGACCCTGTCTCTAAATAAAATACAAAATAGGGCTGGAGATGTGGCTCAGTGGTTGAATGCCCTGAGTTCAATCCCCAGTATCAAAAAAAAAAAAAAAACATGCATAAGGCACTGTGTTCAATCCTCAGCACCATACACATATAAACTCCCCATGTCCAAAAAAAATCACTGGTCATGGTGTCACATGCCTGTAATCTCAGCAATTTGCAGGGCCAAGACAGGAGGATTACAAATTCAAGGCCAGCCTCAGCAACTTGGCAAAGCCCTAAGCAACTTAGCAAGACCTTATCTCAAAAAAAAAAATTAAAAGGGCTGGGGATGTGGCTCAGTAATAAAGTGTCCCTGTGTCAATCCCCATTATCCACATACCCCCATCCCCCGCCAAAAAAAATAAGAGCAGAGAGCGTAGCTCACTTGTAGAGTAATTGCCTAGCATTTGCAAGGTTCTGATTTCAATTCCAGCACCCCCCCACACACACACACAAATTGACAATAATGAACATTGGTAAGAATATGAAAAAATTTAAACCCTCAGTCAGGTGCAGTGGTGTATGCCTATAGTCCCAGCTACTTAGGAGGCTGAGGCAAGAGAATCACAAGTTCAAGGCCAACCTCAGCAATTTAGCAAGACTCTGTTTCAAAATTAAATAAATAAAAAGAACTGGGCATGTAACTCAGTGGTAGAGCACTTGCCTGGCATGTGTAAGGCCCAGGATTCTATCCGAAGCATAGAAGGAAGGAAAAGCAGAGGAAATGTAGATATCAGAATTTTCTACATCATATTTTCTCAAAGTAATTTAAAAATTTTTATTGACTTAAAATAATGGTACATATTTATGGAATACAGTGTTTAAGGCTTATGTCCTTGAGAAAATTTGTTGTGGCTTCTCTAAAATCTAGAAAACATAAATAACAGTGCATATTTCAAGCAACAATGAAATAACATTTCTTGAGTAACACATAATAATCCCTGCCTGTATAAAAGGCCATCAGTAAATTCATTTCCTTCTATCCAGAGTATAATATACTGTCACATGCATAATAATTAGGGTAGAGCAGAAATTGACTAAGATCATTAAGACTCTATTACATGTGTGTGTAATTCTATGCATCATTAATTACAATTGATTGACATTTCAGATCCAGAAGGTCATAATCTAGATAGGTAATTTTATTAGAAAATTTACCCTAAGAATACTTCTATTCCTACTTCTGTAATCCTATCCACACCCACATTCATCAACTACCATGTCTTCATAATGTCGAAGAATGACATTGTCATTATTGTCTTGGTAGAGCATGGAAATGGGAGATAGCTTGGTGGGGATACAGACAGCCTGGGGGATCTCTGGGTCAACTGCATGCATCAGTGCTTGCATGAAAGCATAATTGGAACTATTTAAATAGGTGGTCAGAGCGAGGGGACAATCTCCATGGCAGTAATTTGCCATGAACCCTTTGGGGGCAATGATCCATTTGTGCCAACCTAGGTCCTGGAAGTTGATGAAGAGCTGGTGAGGTCGGCAGAGATTCTTGTGAGAAGCCTTAGGGACAGGAATGGCTGCCCTCCTTTTTCGCGAAGCAGAGTGGCACTGCTCAGGATTGAGGGTTACCACCAGCAGGGAAGCACGAAAGGAAGGTCTCAGTCTGGCACAGGTGGCCTCCAGCTGGAAGTTCACTGCAAAGTCTCTGTCTCCTCTGACCACAATCTCCAAGAATAAGCCCAGGTTCTTCTGGGGTTTGTTATTCCAATCCTTAACCACATCCAGTAGATTGAAGTGAAGGGCACCTTGAGGCCATGGTACAGACTGCAGGGCAAACATTTTACCTGGCTTGGGGATAGATTGCCCCCACATCTGAGGCTCTTGAATGACCCACAGAGCCAACTCCAGTTCTGGTTCCAGGTTATAGTAAGAATTAGGCCCCAAGTCCAGGCCTAGCTGAGCCATTGTTAACTGCTCCTTTTCTTTGATGGCAGACAGGTTAAAGTAGAGGAGCTTCTGTAGGCAAGAGTCATCCTGGGAGAGTTTGTTTGAGTAAATAAAGAAACCTAGATGGGAAAAGCGACATGTGAAAGTCACCACAGTATTTCCTAACCTCATATCCTCTAAAATGCTATAAATGTCACACTGTCCACATATACAGTTTAGGTGCAAGGAACTGTGAGTTCTTTTCAAGCCTTACCATTTGGGAGGATTTGTCCTCACTCCCACTCCTCATTCTTATATTTTCTTGTTTGGTTTTTGCTTTTTTTGTGTGTAGGGGGGCGGTCCTAGGGATTAAACCCAGGGTACTTAACTTCTGAGCCACAACCCCAGCCTTTTTTTTTTTTTAAAGAGAGAGAAAGAGAGAATTTTTTAATATTTATTTTTCAATTTTCAGTGGACACAACATCTTTATTTTATTTTTATGTGGTGCTGAGGATCGAACCCAGTGCCCTGCGCATGCCAGGCGAGCGCGTTACCGCTTGAGCCACATCCCCAGCTCCAGCCTTTTTTTATATTTTATTTTGAGACAGGGTCTTGCTAAGTTGTTTAGGGCCTTGTTAAATTGCTGAGGCTGGCTTTGAAATCATGATCCTCATGCCTCAGCCTCCCAAGTGGCTGGGATTTCATTCTTATCTTTGTATCTCCCAAGGGGTCCTGGAAGGAAATTAGGAGCCCACAAATGGATTGGAAAAAATAATTTTATCTTTGTTTTCATTAAATTTTAAATGGAATTTAGCATTTTATTCCATTATGAATATAGGCAGTAAGTCCCAATAATATTACCAGGGTTGTTGGGGCTCGGAAAATGACATTTTGGCATGCTGAGTACTCTAAATTGAAGGTGACTGGAAAGGCCTCAGAAGCAAGGTCTCTCTGCCTTCTGTTCTCCTGAGTTGGACACCACTTTCTCCCCCTAAGCAACTGGGTGGTGGAGCATAGAAGCTTAAATTCCTCTCCCTCAAAGTAAGCCATAAAACCTAGAAGAGCCCCTCTCTTCCTTGTCCTTTGTAAACCCTCATTCCCCAGGGGTCCTGCCCTTCACCCAAGAGAAGAGCTGCACAGAATCCAAGGATCTGAAGAGACAGGACTCGCTGGGTTTCAACGCTCACCCCAAGACCATTTATTTGGTCAAAATGTGTTGTCCAATCACATTTCTACATGGCTTTCCACTATTTACCAAAACTAAGCATAAAATGGTTTTCCATGGGTCTTTGCTTTGGTTTTGTTTGTTTCAGTGTTTGAAGGTGGAACCCAGGGCCTTGAGCATGCTAGGGTAAGTGGTCTGGTCAGTGAGCTATGCTCTCAGTAGACAGTTTTCCATGGGTCTTAGGTCTTCATTTCTGAATGCTTCAATGTCACACAAAACTAAATAAATCTGTTACACTTTTCTTGTTAACTTTTTATTGTAGAAATGTCACTGTGGCCCTAACAATGGGTAAGGAAAGTAATCGAACCTTTCTATGATCTATGATACTATCATCAATAAAAACAATAAGTGAGTGGGTGCAGTGACATACCCCTGTAATCCCAGCTACTCCAGATGCCTAGGCAGGAGGATCCCAAGGTCAAGGCCAGCCCCAGCAACTTAGCAAGATACTAAGCACCTTAGCAAGACCCTGTCTCAAAAAATAAAAAGGGATGGGGATGTGGCTTAGTGATTAAGCACCCTTGGTTCAATCCCTGGTAACAAAAAAAAAAAAAAGGAAGAAAAGAAAACAAGCAAACAAACAAACAAAAGACAGGTATGTATTTATGTATTTATTTATTAATTACTGGGAATTGAACTCAGGGGCACTCAATCACTGAGCCACATCCCCAGCCCTATTTTGTATTTTATTTAGAGACAGGGTCTCATTGAGTTGCTTAGTGCCTCACTGTTGCTGAGGCTGGCTTTGAACTTGCGATGCTCCTGCCTCAGGCTCTCAAGCCACTGGGGTTACAGGCATGTGCCACCATGCCTGGCCAACAGTTGAATATTTTTAAATAGCTAATAGAAAGGATGTTGAATGTTCCCAATGCAGAGAAATTATGTATGTCTGAGGGTATGAATATGCCAGTTACCCTGATCTGATATTATACATTATATATATGTATTGAGATGTCACACTACTCCATAAATATGTACAATTACTATGTGTCAACTTAAAGACACACACACACACACAATTTTGCAGTGCTGGGGATCAAACCCAGGGCTTTGCACAAGCACTCTACCACTGGGCTACAGTCTCAGCCCTAAAAAAAAAAAAAAAAAAAAAAAAATTAGAAAAGAGAGAGACAGAAAACAGATATTGAATGAGAGAAAGAGAGACAAAGCAAGATAAAACTTGGGCATGGTGGCCAAGTAATCCCAGAGACTGGAGAGGCTGAAGCAGAAGGATTGGAAATTCCAAGCCAGTTTTGGTAACTAAGTGAGACCCTATCTCAAAATAAAAAATAAAAAGGGCTGCAAATGTAACTCCATAGTAGAGCACCCCAGTTTTCAATCCCCAGTAGAAGTCGGGGGGAGCAGGATAAAAGAATAAAACAAAATAAGCAACAAACATAAAAAGCATTTAAAATTACCCAGTTTTTCTAAATAAGGAGGGTGAACAGCTAAGATGTTTATGAATATTTGGTAAGGGTGGAAGAGAAATGATATCTAAATCCTCGTTCTTTTGATGGGAAGTCAATAGTGAAATGTCTAAGCCTGAAAAAAATAAAAAAGTAACAAGAAGAGCAAAAAAGAAAATTACCCAGTTTGTGGGGCATGGTGGCTCACACACCTGTAATCCTAGAGGCTGGCAGGGTTGGGGGAGCTGAAGCAGGAGGACAACAAGAATGCAAAGCTAGCCTTAGCAAATCAGTGAGGCCCTAACCAACTTAAGGAGAACCTGTCTCAAAAAAAAAAAAAAGGGCTGGGAATGTGACTCAGTAGTTAAGCATCCCTGGGTTCAATCCCTGGTAACTAATAATAATAAATAATAAAATACATTTTAAAAATTATCAGTTTCCCTTTTTCTTGGTACATGGGATTGAACCCAGGTGTGCTTATCCACTGAGCTATATCCTTAGCCTTTTTATTTTGAGTCAGGATCTTGCTGAGTTGCTTAGGGCCTGGCTAAATTGTTGAGGCTGGCTTTGAACTCACTATCCTCCTGCCTCAGCTCCTGAGCTGCTGGGATTACATGAGTGTACCAACACAACCAGCCACTATATTACATTTCTGAAGCATGAAAGAAAACCCAAAAGCAAAAAAGGAAAAGATGGACAGATTTTTGACAATATGAAGTGAAAATGTTCAAAAGACCATTAATGGGCCTGGGATATAGTCTGTGGTTTGCCTAACATGCACACTCCCAAGGTTCAATCCCCCGCACACACAACACACACACACACAAACACACACACACACACACTTTAAGGAGATGTCCATCTGGTGTAACATGGATGGGTAAGTTGTCACATATTAAAGAATAATGCATTCTATATTTCCATTTATATCAAGTTCAAAAGCTGTCAAAACTATCATGTAGCCAGGTACAGTGACACACACGCCTGTATTCCCAGTGCCTAGGGAGGCTGAGGCAGGAGGATTGCGAGTTCAAAGCCAGAATCAGCAAAAGCAAGGTGCTAAGCAACTGAGTGAGACCCTGTCCCTAAATAAAATACAAAATAGGGCTGGGGGTGTGATTCAGTGGTTGAGTGCCCCTGAGTTCAATCTCTGGTACAAAACAAAAAAAAAAAAAAAAGAAAACTACCATGGACTGTTAGATGGTTAGATGTTACAATACTAAGAATAATGAATCAGAAAAGAGCATGAAGGATCGTCTAGTGTGCTGGTAATGTTTTATTTCTTGATATGGGTACTGTTTGTTCCTTGAAAATTCATTGAGCTGTTCTCTATGATTTATGCATTTTTCTGAATACATATCAGACTTCAGTAAGTTTCTACTATCTTGGTTTCTTTTTCTTTCTTTCTTTCTTTTTGTGGTGCTAGGGATAGAATCCAAAGTTCATGTATGCAAGACAACCTCTACCACTGAGCTACACCCCAAACAAGAAGCTTCTGTTTTTAAGAAGACTTCTATTAAATTGTGGGAAGTAACAATTCTCATACACTTACAGGAGGGTAAGAATTTTGGAGAACACTTGCTATGTATCAAAAGTTTAAATGTACCTACTTCTAAGAATTTATCCTGGGGCTGGGGATGTGGCTCAAGCGGTAGCGCGCTGGCCTGGCATACATGCGGCCCGGGTTCGATCCTCAGCACCACATACAAAGATGTTGTGTCCGCCGATAACTAAAAAATAAATATTAAAAATTCTCTCTCTCTCTCTCCCTCCCTCTCTCACTCTCTCTCTTTAAAAAAAAAAAAAGAATTTATCCTGAGTTAACAGCAGAAAAAGTGCATACAAAAAAGAAAAGAAAGAAAGAAAAGGTGCATAGGCACAAAAAAAAGTGTATGGCTATCAAAGGACATCGGTTACATATATTATTGTGTATTTATACAATGAAATATCATTTAATTTTTTTTTTTTAGTACCAGGGATTTAATCCATAGGTGCTTGGCTACTGACCACATCCCCACCCCTTTCTATCTTTATTTTGAGACAGATTCTCCCTAAATTGTTTAGGGCCTTGTTAAATTGTTGAGGCTGGCTTTGAACTTGCGATCCTGCTGTCTCAGCCTCTGGAATGGCAGGGATTACAGGTGTGTGCTACCATGTCCAGCTCATGTAACTCTTAAAATGTAAATAAGTTATCCACTTCTTCTCACATATAATAGGTGTTCATGATACTGAAGGAATGTATAGTATAACGCCATTTAAACAAAAATAGTAGATGGGCATGGATTACACACCTGTAATCCCAGCTACTCAAGAGGCTGAGACAGGAAGATTTTGAATTTGAGGACAGCCTGGACAATTAGTGAGACTCTATCTCAAAGTAAACAGTTTTTAAAAGGGCTGGAGATGTAGCTCAGTGGTTGGAGCACCCTATGGTGTGTATATACATACATACATTATATATATATATATATATATATATATAAAGTTTATAATCTCTATTATATTAGCAAAGAAGAAAAATCTGAAAGAATATATAATAACTATTAATGGTGGTTCTCTCTAGCAGAAGAAATAGAAAGGGACAATTATTAGAGTATGTCTTTTTCAGTATTGGGGATTAAACCCAGAACCTCCTACATGCTAGGCAAGCACTTTACCACTGAGCGTGAGAGTATGTCTTTTTCATTTATCATTTGATAGAAATAGAATCCTCCCATTATCACAGTTATTTCCATGGGCAGGAAGGGTAATATTCTCCAAACCATATTCTCACCTCTGTTCTCTACTCTCTCCATAGAAAACCTTTCAGTGGGTTCTTCACACTCCTCCTACCTCTAAATCCTCCTCCAGGAATTTTCTCTAACCCTCCACCCCTGAGGTGAAGCATCTCACATTATACTGTACCTAGCACCACACATAGAAGTCATCTCTTTGACTTATATAAATTCTTTAAAAGGGCAGACTTTATTGTTAATTGCTATATTCACAAATTCATACACAGTTCCTGGCTCACAGCAGGTATCCAATAAATACTTTCCCAGGCAAATAAATATTCAAATATTCTCTCAGGTTGCAGTAAAACTAACCAAGTACTCAATTCTGCATTTGAACCACCAGAGAGGACACACAAGACATGCAGATTCTCAACCCTTATCTTGGACTTTGAATATGAATTAGGTAGTGAGGGAAAGGAATGGACCTGAAAGAATCTAAGTTTAATACACGGCCTGGGTAACTTGGTGGGTGGTCCCATTGGGAAGCAATTGAATAGATCCTTATATAAAGGATATGATAATGGCATATATTATTGCTCTATATTCACAAATCAAGGAAAACTTCCCCCCCCATCAGTAATGGAGGCGTAAGTAGAAGGGAAGTTTATGAACAAAATGAGCTCAACATTTTTTGTCTCCTGCTTAGCATAAGAAAGACCAGGATGTGTGTATATTGTTTGGCTAAAGAATGGGAGACTGAAGCCAATGCTTTTGTGCATTCCCGTAAGTTCAACAACTTGGCTGAGGTAGGAGTTGGTGGCTGGACTCAGCAATTTAGTGAGGTACTCAGCAACTAGGTGAGGCCCTGTCTCAAAAAAAAAAAAAAAAAAGAATAGGAGAATAGGTGACAGCTTTAATTACACCATTATATATTCTCTATACTGAAGCACAAAGCAGTTGATTCAGAAAAAAAACTACCTTGAACCAGCAAAGTGGTGCATGCCTATAATTCCAGCACTTCAGTAAACTTAACTAAGGCAAGATGATCACAAATTTAAGTCCAGTCTCAGCAATGTTGGGAGACCCCCAATAATTTAGCGAGACCCTGTCTCAAAAGTAAAAAATAAAAGGGCTAAAGATGTAGTTCAGTGGTGAAATGCTGCTAGGTTCAATCCCCAGTATCAAAATTAGAAGGAAAAAAAGAAGAAAAAAAGAAAGGAAATTAAAAAAAAAAAAAACAAAACTCTTTTGAGGGGCCGCGGGTGTATAAGCTCCGTGGCGGAGTGCTTGCTTAGCCCTGGGTTTTCTCTCTGGGACCACCTAAACAAACAAACAAAAATTCAAAAAAAAAAAAAACAACAACAAAAAAAAAAACTTTGAATCCTTTGTTCATGTGCTAGCTATCTTCTTGAATAGGTAGCTCACAGGTTACCTACTGTCTGAGCCTTAATTTCCTTAGTTAAAAAGTTGAGGGCTGGGGATCTCGCTCATTTGGCAAAGTGCTTGCCTCACAAGTACCAAGCCCTGGGTTCAATCCCCAGCACCACACACACACAAAAAAAAACATTTGGGGGTGGGGCTTTGGCTCAGGGGTAGCGCACCTGCCTGGGATATGTGAGGCACTGGATTCGATTCTTAGCACCACGTATAAATAAATAAAATAAAAGATCTATCAACAAATAAAATATATATATTAAAAAAAAAGTTGATAATACTTACTTGCCTTCCTCTGAGGATTGCTGCTGGGATTAAATGAGAAAATATGCAAAATAGTAGCACAGGGCCTTCCATAAGCCATCAGCAATTGTAATTTCCCCTTTTCCTTCCTCCTCTTCATACCACCCACTTCCAGATTTCCCCCTGGAAACTCTCCCATTTCTTTACCTTTGTCAGGGAGAAGACGAAGCACATTCCCACGGACACCCAGCTCCTTCATGTAGCATAAATCTTGGGAGACCCCAGTTGTTGTTGCTGTCTCTCGATCTTGGAAAATTTTCTTCAAGATAAAAGGCACGGATTGGAACTTGCGGGGTGAAGGCACCTTGTCTAAGCCCAGAAACTGGAGAAAGTCGGATTCTTGAAATTGAAATGTATGTCCCATAGCTACAATTAACAGGAAGCCAACAGGTAAAAATGGCAGCGAAGGAAGCATGGCCTCGGAGGTGGGACAAAGCAGGCTGGCTGCACGCTGGGAACAGCTGCAGCTCCAGACTGCACAGCCAGCGATTCAAGGGCTGCTAACTTACCTGATGGAAGATAATCAAGTGCGAATTGCTCTCTTCCCAGGTTCTCAAAGGCAATTGGATGTGAAGATATATTTTTTTCCCTCTTCTCTCAATCTGCTCTCCCAAAAAGAAACAAAAAATTACTGATGCGTGGACATAAACTGTACAACCTGAGATTTGTCATGGTAGACAGAGTGAAAAGCAGACATGCATTTATTCATTCAATATACTTTTATTAGGAGCTGGGAATGTGGCTCAGTGGTAGAGTGTTTGCCTAGCATGCAAGAGGCCCTGGGTTTGATCCTCAGCACTGCCAAAACAAACAAAAAAGAGTTATTAAAGCATCTATTATGTGCAAGACACTGAGATAGGTGCTAGCAACATACCAGTAAACAATTTGTTCTTATAATTAATTGTCTAGTTAGACAAATGTACATGTAGATTTCTAACAGACTACATCCACAGTGATGTGGGAAACCAAATCAAGGAAAAAGAAGTATTCCCAAGGAAATTAATCTACACTCCCCATCTGTTTTCAATTTAAAAGGATTAAATTTCATTCATCTAATTTTGTCCTTCTTGATTAAAAGTTAAGAGTCTGTGTTAATTCTGATTTCATTACTTAGTAGCTGTATGACATTGGGCATATCCCTTAACCTTCCTTAATTTGTTTCTTCTCAACTAAAAATAATAACTGACTTATTTAATCCCCCATCTTTCTTTTATTAGAGATCTAACCTGAGCCTCCACCAGCTAACTCTACTAGCTAGGCATGTGCTCTACCACTGAGTTCAAAATAAAAAACAAAAAGGGCTGGGGATGTGGATGTGGCTTAGTGGTTAAAGCGCCCCGTGTTCAATTCCCAGTACCAAAAAAAGAAAAAGTAGGAAACTGGGTAATTTTTAAAATTTATTTTATTTTATTATTATTATTGTTGTTATTATGATTATTTGGTACCAAGGATTGAACCCAGAGGTGCTTAACCACCGAGTCCCATGCTCAGCCCTGTTTATTTTTTTATTTTGAGACAAGGTCTGGCTAAATTGCCCAGGCTGACCCTGCACTTGCAATCAATCCTGCCTCAGTCTCCTGAGTAGCTGGGATTACAGGCATGGACCACTGTGCCTGGCTGCACGAGAATTTGCTCAGCACAATGTCTGCAGCACAGTAAACTCCTACAAAATATTCACAAGCAAGACAGCTTTAAAGCTTTAGTAGGCTTCTCTTTAGTAAGACAATCAGATATTTGCCTGAAGGAACTACATGTGAAAAAGAATGGAAGGGCTGGGGATGTGCTCAGAGGCAGAGTGCTTGCCTTGCTTATTCAAGACTATAAGTTTGATCTCCAGTATCACCAAAAAAAAAAAAAAAACACTTGACATTCATAAAAATGGAAGTTATTGAGAAGTCTAAGTATGTAACACCTATGAATTTGCATGTTTTGCTTTGTTTTGGTCAAATTACTATAAAATTTTCAACTGCTATTTAAGAATTAGCTTATTTGTATCCAAAATAATTTCCAAGCTTTTTGAGAAGAAATGTTATCATTTTACATTATTTTATACCACCTATTAAAATAACTTGTTCTTCCCAAAGAAAGACAGAATATTCATCTAATATATAATAATTTCTGGTCCCAGGATAAAATCTGAACTCTTGCTGGGCACAGTGGCACATGCCTGTAATCCCAGTGACTCAAGAGACTAAGGCAAGAGGATAGAAAGTTGGAAGACAGTCACAGCAATTTAGTGAGACCCTGTCTCAAAATAAAAAGTAAAAAGGTTTAGGGATGTAGCTCAGTGGCTAAGCCCTCTGGGTTAGATTGTTGATACTGAAAAAACCACCACCACCACCAAAAAAAAAAAAAGAAAGAAAGAAAGAAAAAAAAAAAAAAAAACCCTAGACTCTAGCTTGGTATTTGGCATTTGAGGACTTTATTGTTCTGATCTCCAGGTCCCTAGCCAGTTTCACTTCCTACTACCACCATGGTCACTGCTGATGTTCTAATGATATCCATCTATTTATTCTCCCGTGAGGTCATTTCATCTCAGAGCCTTTGCACAACCCAAGTTCGAAGGTCTCTTCTACTGCAAATACTTCCTTGACTTGCCAAAACGGATTTAGATACTTCTTCATCCCATTGAACCTTGGGTGGTCATCTTCTATGGCACTTATCACAGGTGTCACTGTTTGCTGACCTTCCTCTCAGACAACACTCACATTCATGGGGGTAGGAATGATAGACAGCAAACATTCATTGCAAATCCCACTGGCTGCATTTAACAACCATATCTCTCGCTGTACACACTGACAAAGCTTCAAAAAAATCTTGTGTTTCTTTTAATTTGGGGGGGTTCCCCCAAGCCATTAGGAAGAAATATATAATTGTTTTTATTTAAATTTATTAGACTCAATTTTGTCATGTGGTTCATGTGTATTTAAACTTCATCTGACAATTCCTTTGCTCATTTTTCTCTTTCATTGTTCTATTTAATTTTATTTTTATTTTTTATTTTTTGGTACTGGGGATTGAATCCAGAGACACTTCACCACTGAGCTATATCTCTAATCCTTTTTATTTTTTGTTTTGAGACAGGATCTTGCAAAGTTGCTGAAGTTTGCTAAGTTGCTGAGGTTGGCCTGGAATGAAATCTCCTCCTGCCTCAGGAGAGGGATCACAGGTGTGTGCCACTGTGCCTGGTCATTTTTTGAAATTTAAATTGAGGGACTGGGGATGTAGTTTGGTATTAGAGAACTTGTCTAGCATGTGCCCTGGGTTTGATCCTTCACACTGAAAAAGAAAGAGGAGGAGGAGGAGGAGGAGAGGAAGTAGAAGAGGAAGGGGAGGAGGAGGATAAAAGGAAGTAGAAGAGGAAGGGGAAGAGGAAGAAGAAGAAATTGAATTGCTAATTATTTTTCAATTGGAGATCTTCCTGCCTCAGTCTCCCAAGTAGCTGAGATTATAGGTGTGTACCACCATATCCTGCTACTTCCTTATACTTTGTATACTTACTTGTCTTTCAGGATAGTGCCTCCTCTGGATATGCTGCCTAAGTAGCTGGCCACTCATTTTCAAGCTCCTCTCCTTTTTTCTTTCTTTTTTCCTTGTGATACTGGGGTTCAAACCTTAGGGTGCTCTGCCACTGAGTTATATCCTCAGCCCATTTTATTTTTTCTTTTGAGACAGGATCTAGCTAAATTGCTGAGGGTCTAGCTAAATTGCTGAATCTGGCCTTGATCTTGCCATCTTCCTGCCTCAGCTTCCTGAGAGCATGGAAATACATGTGTGTGCCACTATGCCTGGCTGTAAAAGTTTATTATGGTCCAAAATGGAGTTTCTGACCTTCACCACCAATCCTACAGCATGGCATGGCATGGCACCTCCACAGTCATTACTTCCTTCAGGTTTGTATGTCTCAGCTAATGCTAACCCTGTCCTTCCTATTGTTCAGCACAAAGCTTTGGATTCCTTCTTTTTTTTTTTTTTTCTTTGTACCAGGGATTGAACTCAAGGGCACTTAACCACTGAGCCACATTCCCAGCCCAATTTTGTATTTTATTAGAGTCAGGGTCTCACTGAATTGCTTAGTGCCTCACCGTTGCTGAGACTGGCTTTGAACTTGCCATCCTCCTGTCTCAACCTTCTGAGCTGCTGGGATTACGAGCATGCACCACTATGTTCAGCTAGATTGATTCCTAATTCCTTTCTTTCTCTTCTCCTACATATTCAATTCGTTAGATAATTCTGGCTTAGCTCTATCTTTAAGATATTTTCAAATTTTGATCATTTATCATCTTCCCTGTTATAACCCTAATCTAAAATACTGATTTTTTCATCTGAGTTATGCCATAACTTCCAAACCAGTCTCTGATTCTAACCTTCCAATTCCCAATTCCTACCAGTCTGAGAATCAATCTCTCTCTCTCTCTCTCTCTCTCTCTCTCTCTCTCTCTATCTATCTCTCTATCTCTCTCTCTCTCTCCTATTACTGGGAATGGAACCCAGGAACTTGCACCTGCTAGGCATGCACTCTGCAACTGAATTAACTCCCCTGCCCTGTTTTTAATTTTTTTTTTAATTCCCTGCCCTTTTTAAAACTTCTACTTTGAGACAGTCAAATTCTCTAGCCAAATTCTTTACAAAGGTCAGTTAACTCTTTTGCTCATTTGCTCAAAACCCTCCAGTGAACTCTTCATTCCACTCAGAGTAAGTCAGTGTCTGAAAAAAACCTAACACAGTTACCTCATTTACTAATTTTGTCCCTTGAACATTGTGCTCCCGCCACACTTCTTTTTCCACTACTACAATTCTTTGTATTCTTGCTCTTGCCTCTGCCAGGAAGACTCTCCAAAGATATTACCACATCTGACCACCCCCACCCCACGCACACCTCTTCCTGTGGTTTTGTGTGCTGTGGATGCCTTCTGAGTTTTTACACATTCTTTCCCCTCTCCTTAAAGTTTATCTTTGCCATTCTATTATAAGTTCCAACTTGATCCCTCCCCCACAACTTTTAATCTTCTTTACCCCATTGCATTTAGTTCTACAACATGCTTTATTTTGTAGCATTATAGTCTAGCATACTAATAATTTTATTCATGTATTCAACAAATACTTGTGCTAGAGAGTGTCATTAGACAAGGACTCAAGTAGATCCTTCCAAGAAGGCAATGGAACTTCGACTCAGCCTAGTCAGGTTCTTGACTTAAGCAGCTGAAAAGAATTACAGGATGTGTCAAAAACAAGACACAACTGATCATAATGTGCATGCTTGTGATCCCAGATACTCATGAGGCGGAGGCAGGAGGATCACAAGTTTAAGGATAGCCTCAGCAACTCAGTGAGGCCCTAAGCAACTTAGCGAGACTCTGTTTTAAAATAAAAATAAATAAAAAGGGCTGGGGACAAAATAAATAAAAAGGGCTCAGTGGTTAAGCGCTAGGTTCAATCCTCAGTACTGGGGTTGGGGGTTGGGGTAGAAAGAAAGAAATATGCAGATTGTCAAGCAACCTTTTTTGAAAATCAAATTCCATATCCATCATTTGAAATTTCTGGTTCACAATGTTTCTTTTTGTTTAAGCACTCCAGTCATAAATCAGTTATGGGCACATCCTGTAAGTCTTTGAATCCTGGTGACATTTAATTGGTTATGTTTTTGCTCCAGTTGATCAGGTACAAGCATTCACTGTACCTGAGGTTTTGCTCATCTAACTAAAGAGACAAGCATGGCTGGTCATGCTTTCCATCTACTTAGAGTCTCTTTCTCTCCCTGAGAGCCCATCTATCTCTCTATTATTTTAAACATTTGGGACATATCATGAACTAGATATGAGTCCCTGACCTGAGACCATCATGTTGTAATGGTGTAGGACAGTTAGTACACAATAAATATATCAATTAAATATTATTGTAACTGAGAAAAATTCCAATTCTGCTGCCACCCAACAAAGTCAATTATTCAAGAGACAGAGTGATGGGAAAACAAAGAGCTTTATTACTAAAAAACTAGCTTGGAAGATAGTGGGTCAAACATCTTTACTGAGCATTTCAGGGACTCATGTATGCCAAAGGCTTTATAGAGAGGCGAGGTCAGGTGGCACATAGGACAAGAAATAACCAATGACTGGAGACCTAGGTGCTGTTCTAGTGGCCCAAACGGGGATGCCCTCCCAGTCACTCCCACCTTGGTGTCTTCAATTTTGAAAAGAGAGAGATTAGGCAAATCTAAGTCAAATCAACCCTGTATTATGGTTCCAGACAAAACATTTCTCAAATGATCAACATGTCTACATGCACAGATGAACAGAAATTTCACTCAAGTGTTAAGTCAGCAAAGGTAACAGACACAACATAAAGGCAGAGATGCCAAGTTTTTTATCCTGTTTCATCACCCACTTGATATCTTCCAGCCCAAATGAAGAGTTGGTGCTCTCAGCAAAAGCAAATCTTAAGCTTTTTTTTTTTTTTTTCTCGAGGTAACCATTAATATCACAATCTACAGATCAGAGGTGTAATCTGTAGCAAAGCTAGTGGGAAACTAATAATGCATTGCCCAGCTATATGACCTCCAAAATTGGTGCCCCCTCCCCCACTGGGGTTGAAACTAGGGACACTACTTTATCACTGAGCTACATACCCAGCCCTTTATTTTCTTTTATTTGTTTGTTTTTGCCATACTGGGAATTGAACCCAGGGACACTCTGCCACTGAGCTACATCCCCAGCCCTTCCATTTTATTTTTTATTTTGAGACAGGGTCTTACTAAGTTGCTGAGGCTGGTCTCAAACTTGAGATCCTCCTACCTCAACTTCCTGAGTAGCTGGGATTACAGGTGTGCACCACTGTGCCCAAGTCAAATTTAGCAATTTCTCTCTCTCTCTCTCTCTCTCTCTCATCAGGGATTTAACCCAGGAGTGCTTACCCACTGAGCCACATCCCCAGTCCTTTTTATTTTTTTATTTTGAGACAGGGTCTTGCTAAGTTGCTTACAGCCTCACTATTCTCTTGTCTCAGCCTTCCAAGTCACTGGTATCACAGGGAAGCAGGAAGTTGAAACTCCAAATCTTGGTTCTTATGTTTCAATGAAAGAAAATTTAGGGGTCTCCATGGAGGAGCATCCTCCCACAGTCTCTGCTGAAGATGGGCTACACATTCTAGTTCCCAGGCCCTGCCACCTGTGACTGCACACGCAGGGGTCATGACAGAGGTCACTACTGAGGTCTTCACCAGCCCACAGGTAAAGCATGGCAGCCATCCCTTCCAGCAGTTCACTGGTAGCCACTCACAACTACTGCTGGTGCTGCCTGGGCTCCACATCCAGCAACAGCTCCTGTGGAAGTGCAAAGTACCCTGGGGAGGCCATCCGCCACCACACTGGTCTCCCCAAGGCTACCCCAGGTCACTGGTGGCCCAGCTTCTTCTTCAAGAAGTCCACTCTTCCAATCATGGCCACTGTGTTGTAGTCCCAGAGCACTCAGAATCCACCCAGGTCTCCACCAGCAATGATCACCAGTGACCTAGCTGTAGAAACCATGAGGAAGAAGCCTGTCAGTCAGCAGAGCCAGACCAGCACTGGGCCTCAGTCCACCTGGTGGCCCACTGATAGGAGCTTCCAAGGTGCTAGGTTGAATTCTACCCATGCTAAGGGGTAGGCTAGGCAGGCTGCAGCAAGCAAAGACCACCTTGGTTCTTCCACAGGAGATGACAGGCACCAGGCAAGAGACCCCCTCTCCAAGCCACAGTGGGCTTTCTTGACTCCCATAACTGTGCCTTGCTCCAAGCAAAAATAAACTCCAAACAGCGAGGAAAAAAAAAACACGAAATTTAAAGTCCGACACAAAAAGCCATGCAAGAGAACTTTATTATAAATGAAAGTGAAGTGAGGTGAAAGTATAGTAAAAGCAAAGTGAAGCTTAAGCAGAGAGCACTCTCCAGAAAGTGTGCCGTCTCTGGGTGAGCAGAGAGTAACACAGGAGACAACGCTGACTCAAAATTTATTACTGTTTGATGTTTACCAGGAGAACTGGGGACCACCTTCAACTCCTCCTTCATGTGTGGGTGGTAGAATTTTTTACTTTAGTTGGTCCTCCTCCAGAACTGTCATGGTGGCCATCCTGTTTGGAGGGACTCCATTTACAAGTCAATCCCATGTTAATATGGGCACTGAGGTCTGTTGGGAAAAGTATAAACGGCAGCCATACCCCAGAGAAAAACCCCAACATGGCGCCTAAGGACTTCTTCCTACCTTCTTCTTTTCTGCAGTGGCGCGAAAAGTTCCCGCCTGTGTGAACTCTCCCGCCGGCGCCAATTTCAAATCTCACTGGCGGGGAACCTTAGCCCCAATGAGAACTAATTCCTGGGCTCCGGAGCTGATATCTGAAAGAACTTGCCAATAAACGGGTTGCCTGCCATTTATCTAAGCCCTACCATCTCCCCCTTAGTTCTATATAAGCACACAGCTTTTTGCAATAAAATTGGAATTCTCCCGGCGAAGTGTCTTTGCGTGGGGAATTCTTTCAAGGTCAATATCTGGTCAGAAGTCACCTTAATGGGCCTGCAGTATTAAAGGAATCTTCCTTCCCAGACAAATAGAGACCCTTCTAGCCATCATTCCTAGCTTTGCATCAACCTCGGTGAACCCTGTCACATTTAGTTCCATTAATCCTTTTCTTTTGATGTATTTTCCCACTAACTCATTTGTTTTTATGTTTTTTCTACAAATTAACTACCAACTTTTGCTTTCTCATCTACTTCGAAAGTAGTTTAAAGAAGACTCTAAAGTAATTTAAAGGGGCTGGGGATGTGGCTCAAGCGGTAGCGCGCTCACCTGGCATGGGTGCGGCCCAGGTTCGATCCTCAGCACCACATACAAAGAAAGATGTTGTGTCTGCCGAAAACTAAAATGTAAATAAAATATTTAAATAAATAAATAAATAAAGTAATTTAAAGAACATTTGTGATCTTGCCATGCATTTCATTGCTTGTTGCTAGATACTACCTAAGACTGGGATTACAGGAGTACACTACCATGCCTGGAAAAATTAGTGATTTCTACAGTCAACTAAAAGTAAGTAAAGCTAGAGGGTTTATTTAGGTTTCCCCCTCAGTTACATCATTTACTCGACAAATAAATGGATTAATTAATATTTGGATACTTGTTCAAGAACTTCTGAAAAATATTTTTTTCTTTTTGGCACTGAGAATTGAACCCAGGGAGCTTTACCACTGAGCTACATCCATAGCTTTTTGTTTTTTGAGACAGGGTTCTGCTAAGTGGCTCAGGGCTTCTATAAATTGCTGAGGCTTGCCTCAAACTTTAAATTCTCTTACCTCAGATTCTCAAGTAGCTGGGATTACAGGCATGTGCCACCACACCCAGCCCAATAATCACTAATATAGAATATTGGCATTATCAGGTTTTACTTTTTATAATGGAGTTTTAAATTTGGGACTAGTTAATATTATCAAGGAAATCACTATCTTTACTTTATAAATTCACATATTCAGAAGACTTTCATAATCAAGATAGCCTATCTCAAAGTATTAGGCATTTGTGAAAACTAATCCAGGAATAAAAACAAATATAATCATACAGCAATTGTTAATATTCCATTTAAAAAATATTTGGGCTAGGGATATAGCTTAACTCAGTGTCAGAGCTCTTGCCTAGCAGTGCAAGGCCCTTGATTCAATTCCTAGTACCACATAAAAACGAAAACAAAAACTACCCCCCCCCCAAAAAAAAGAAAGCAAAAAGAAAAAAATTAACACATTGTTAAGTAACTTTGTAAATTAAAATTAGGTAACCTATTTTTATAGATAGGGCTAGGAATGTAGCTCAGTGGTAGGGTACTTGCCTAGCATATGTAAGGTCTGAGGTTTAATCCCCAGTACACCTAAAAACATAAAACACATCAGGTAAAAGATGAAATAGTATTACAATATAAATTTTTTTGGGGTGGTGGGTACCAGGGATTGAACTCAGGGGCACTGGACCACTGAGCCATCCTCAGCACTAGTTTGTATTTTATTTAGAGACAAGGTCTCACTGAGTTGCTTAGTGCCTTGCCTTTGCTGAGTCTGGCTTTTAACTTGGGATCCTCCTGCCTCAGCCTCTGGAGCCACTGTGCCTGGCTACATTATAAAATTTTACATGTAATGTTTTCTAAGTTTCGATTTAGCAGTAGTTTCTTGAATGTCAACTTAAAACTAATAAATGTCTCTGAATAACTTTTCTTCTGGATGTTAGATTTGTGACTCCGATTTCTTCAAAGTTGAAGATAATAAAATATTAGAGCTTAAGTGTCTTAGCTATCCATTTTATCTAAAATACTACGCTTAATGTCTTAGGAGCAAGGAAAACAAAAAGTTGTTCTTTTTTCCTTAAATACACAGTTGATAAGGATTGGCAGGTCATTTCTATTGCCTTGGATAAGAATGTTTTATAAGTCTTGCACTCTTGGATAAGCAATTCTGAAAGTTATTCTCATTTAAGAGGGTCCAAAGAGAATAAAAAAGATGTTGCTCATTACATTTACTCTTAGTGTTACTGTTTGTCCTCTTTTTTGTGACTGAGGAACTCCAAGTTTATCTTTGCTATTTCAAAACTAGTGACTGACAGCTGGGTGCCCACTTTTAGTCCCAGCTACTCCCAGAGACTAATGTGGGAGAATCACTTTAGCCCAGAAGTTTGAGACCAGCCTAAGCAACATAGCAAGACCCTCTCTCAAAAAGGAAGAAAAAAGAAAGAAAGCAAAAGAAAACTAGTGACAGAATTTACAAGTGTTAAGGGAAAGGAAGAAACTAGCAAAAAAAAAAAAAAAAATCTTGAAAAAAAAAATACCTATTCCTTCTGAATATTGTAACTCGGTTAGAGAGAACATGAAATATTCAAGTCCAAGGGATTTTATTAACTAATTAACTTATCAGGTATTTAGGATACCTCATCTTTGCTCTAGGCAAGCCTTTAAACTCATGTTTTTCAAACTTTGTTGCAATTCATTAATGAAGAATAAAATAAACTTTGTGGATCCCAATCAGCATTAAGAAGAAACTAGAGGCTGGGGATATAGCTCAGTTGGTAGAGTGCTTGCCTTACATGCAAAAGGCTCTTAGTTCTAATCCTCAGAAACACACACACACACACACACACACACCAAACAAACAAACAAAAAACCCCACTACAATAGTATAGGAAATCCCTGAAACTTTTCTTTTTGTTTTTGAGAGACCAGGGATGCCTTCTAACACTAAGGTACATCCCCAGCCCTCCCTCAAATGTCTTAGCTAATAATTATCTCTACCTGTTACTGGATATATATTTTGTAGTATATGGCAAAACTATGAATGCCACTGTACTTACTAGTGGCATTTTTTTCTAAACTACTTCTTTTTCTTTCTTCCTTCTTCCTTCCTTTCTCTCTCTCTCTCTCTCTCTCTCTCTCTCTCTCTCTCTCTCTTCTTCTGGGGATTGAACTCAGGGTTAATCTACCATTGAGTTACATCCCCAGCCCTTTTTATTTTTTATTTTGAGACAGTCTCATTAAGTTACATAGGCTGGCTTTGAACTTGCAATCCACCTGCCTTAGTCTTTTGAATAGCTAGGATTATAGGTGTGTGCCACCAAGCCTTCCTCTCCCTCTGATTTTGTTGTCATGTGGTCTTTTCTCTATCTGATCCCTCTTGCCTTCCTTTAGAATCTTGTTCTTATCTAGGTACCTAGATTCATTTAGGTAATCCAGAATAATCTCCCAAAATTCTTTTTTTTTCTTTTTTTCCCAGTACTGCAGATTGAACCCAGAGGCATTTTACCACTGAGCCACATCCCAAACCTTTTATTTTATGTTGAGGCAGGGTCTCACTAAATTGCTTTAGGCCTTGCTAAATTACTGAGGCTGGCCTTAAGCTTGTGATCTTCCTGCCTCAGCCTCCTGAGTTGCTGAGATTACAGCTGTGTGCCACTGTGCCTGGCTCTATTTTACTTTTGAGACAGTGTAACAGTGGCCTACTTGTGCTTTGAATATAACCCTTGCCACTCTACCACTGCAGCTTATTTTTTTTTTTAAACTGGTGACCGTGGATTCCTGCGGCTGCTTTTTTTTTTTTTTTTAAAGAGAGAGAGAGAGAATTTTAATATTTATTTATTTTTTTAGTTTTCGGCAGACACAACATCTTTGTTTGTATGTGGTGCTGAGGATCCAACCCGGGCTGCATGTATGCCAGGGGAGCGCGCTACTGCTTGAGCCACATCCCCAGCCCACTGCAGTTTATTTTTAAATTGGGCATGTTTCCTTCTCTCCTCCTGCTCCTTCCTAATCTCTCCCCTCCCTAATCTCGGGAAACAGTATTGCCTTTCTTCTCCATCCTAGGCAGTTATCACTCCCTGCATACATACCCACAATAGGAATGAAGTAATCCAAACTTTGGGGATGAAACCAGAAGATCTCAGAAATGACTATCTCCCAAATTAACAACTGATTTACAATTCCAACAGAGAACATGTGGAATGAAGCCTTTGAGTCACCTCTTTAAAAGTCCCCTGTTCCTAATGATGGGGAAAATCAAAGCCTTTGGGACAGGAGTCCCCTGTGTTTCTCCTTTGCTAACAAAGCAATAAAATTTCTTTATCCTTTTTCTCAAAATGGTGTCCTCATTATTGGATTGGCATCAGGGACAAGGACCAAGATTTCATTTCGACAACAGGATCTTGCTAAATTGCCTTGGCTGGCCTTGAACTTGCCATCCTCCTGCCTCACCTTCTTGAGTGGCTAGACAGGATTCTTAATCATATCAGCAAGTTACCTTTTTTCTCATGTAAAATAACATGTTTACAGGTTCCAGGGATGAAGATGTGGTTATCTTTGCAGAATCATTGTTCAGTTTATCACATATGACTTCTGAAAAATCTCATGCTCTGCAAAATTACATGTGTACGTGCATACAGATAGACTGACTTATACAAGACAGTTGAGGCTAAGAAGCAACAAATGAGCCAGATTAAGCAGGTCATTTCTATAATCCCAGCTAGTTGAGAAGCTGTTATATGGACAATATTTCTAGTAAAGATGAAGGGAACTTGATGCAACAGGATGTAATGGACTGGGACTGCTGACATTAAAAAGAGGACAAAATTCAGAGATCAAGGCTGGGGATGTAGTTCAGCCCTGCTTAACATGCCTGAGCCCCTGTGTTTGTTCCCCCTCAAGAAGAAAAAAAGAAAAGAAGGAAGGAAGGAAAGAAGAAAGATAGAAAGAAGAAAGCAAGCAAGCAAAGGTCAAACTTTAAAAAACTGGGATTTGGAGAGATTGGGCATTAAAAACTGTTATCAGGCTTGGGATGTGGCTCAAGTGGTATCGCCCTTGCCTGGCATGCGGGGGGGGGGGGGGGGGTGCTGGGTTCAATCTTCAGCATCACATAAAAATAAAGATGTTGTGTCCACCAAAAACAACAAAAAAAATATTAAAAAATTCTCTCTCTCTCTTTAAAAAAAAAAAACAAAAACCTGTTATCATAACTGGGCATGTGCCTCCTAGCAACTCAGGAGGCTAAGGCAGGAGGATCATAAATTCTATGTCAGCCTCACCTGAACAACTTAATGAGACCCTGTCTCAAAATAAAAAAATAAAAAGGGCCCTGGAGATGTAGCTCAGTGCTAAATATGGTGATAGGAAGGAACTGCAACTTGTTTTACATTTTACATCCTCATTTATTATGTGTATATGGTTTATTTTTTCCTCCAGTACTGGGGATTGAACCCACTGCTACTGTACATTGAGCTGCATCCCCAGCACTTTTAATTTTTATTTTGAGACAGGATCTCACTAAGTTACCCAGGTGGGCCTTGAACATAATGAGATGGGAGTGTTTGTGA